AGGTAAAGATATTAAAGGTGATTTTAAGTACTTAGATATTTTATTTTGCAACTGGTAGCATTTGACTACTTTGCTTGGGTTGCTTATTAGGTCTGTTTATCACCTTGACCCATGAGTATACTATGCATATTACTCAGGGTCCATAAATGGGTCCCTTGTGCTTTTATTACTTTTTTTTTTTTAAGATTTTATTTATTTATTTGACAGAGAGAGACACAATGAGAGAGGAAACACAAGCAGGGGGAGTGGGAGAGGGAGAAGCAGGCTTCCACCCAGCAGGGAACCCAATGCGGGGTCGATCCCAGGACCCTGGGATCATGACCTGAGCCGAAGGCAGATGCTCAACGACTGAGCCACCCAGGCGCCCCTTATTACTCTTTACTTACAGATTAATATCAATAACTATAGCCACAGGCAAATAGTGACATTTTGGAGGGGGAGGAAAGGAGCATGGATGTGTCTGGGTTTTTTTGAGAGAGAGGAGGAGAAAGAAAGAGAAAGAGCGAGGGAGTGGGGGGATGGGCAGAGGGATAGAATCTTTCAAGCAGACTCCCTGCTCCCAACCTAGGACTCAGTCCCACAGTCCATGAGATCATGAGATCATGAGATCATGACCTGAGCCGAAACCAAGAGTCTGAAGCTTAACTGACTGAGACACACAGGCGCCCCGGGCATGTTCTGTTCTAAGTAAACACTGGTCTGCTTACTTCCATGCATGTGAGCACTTTGCATCCTTCTACTTATCCTGCATATTTTCTTTTTGATTTCTAGTCATTTTTATTCCAGAATGGGGAGACAATGCCTAGATCTGTAGCCTAAACTACAGTAAGTAGAGCCTCTTTCCCTGGTCCTCTTTTCCCATAAGTTTAAGGAATGAATTGATAAGAACCTAAAAGAATTTACTTCTGGATAGAATCCTTGAAATCTTAACCCTGTTAGGAATAACCCCAGTAGTTGTTAGAAATAATTCTGAAAGCTGTTACATGGACGGATGAATGTCCAAGTTGAATATTGATGAGAGATTCTAAGAACAAATTTTACTAAGTTCCAGAGTGCCAAGCTCCACCTCTAGGTTAAGTAACTTCTGGGTTCAAAGAACTTGTTATAGTTAAGGTGTTCTTAATGTCTTTTAGGGAGTGTGTCAGAGGGCTTCTTACTTAGATTGCCAGTGGTCCAAGATCTCAGCTTTTGTGTTCAGACACTTGAAAGCTTTCCTGTAAATTTTCTTTAAAATACTCAGGGGAAGCAGAAGTGGGTTGTATGTGTTGTGAGATGGTGATTAGATGAAACAAGTTTTCAAAAATGTTGATAATTTTCAAGCTCTCAGATGAAAATTCTCTATACTATTCTCTCTACTTTTGTGAATGTTGGAAAATAAAAAGTGAGCTGGGGGTGTCTGGGTGGCTCAGTCGATTAAGCGTCTGACTCTTGATTTCAGATCAAGTCATGATCTTAGGCTCTTGGGATCGAGCCCTGCATTGGGCTCCATGCTCAGCACAGAGTCTGCTTGAGAGTCTCTCTCTCCCTCTCCTTTTGCCCCTCCCCCACCATTCAGGCTCTCTCTGTTTTTCAAATAAATAAATGAATAAAATCTTTAAAAAATAAAAAAAAAGAATGAGCTGAAGGAAATATGAGAAAAATGTTAACATTTACTAAAAATGAGGAATGGGTATTTGTTATATTATTTTTTCTATTTTTTTAAAAATAATCTTGGAACACTTCAGAATTAAACTTAAAAAAAAAAATTGCCTCTCCATCCATGAGTATTAAAATACAAGAGACTGTTTTCTGATAAACTAAGCAGTTTGTTGGCCTTGATATATAATAGTTAGTGCCCTTCCAGTAGGAAAGAAAGAGGGTTAACTGTTAAGAACGTAAGGAGTTTGATAGTGAGAATACAGTTATGGCAGTTGAAAGCCACATGATAGCAAGTTAGGGCCCCTTTTTTCTTGGGAAAATAGCATTAAGGTCTTATTCTTGGATATTATTTTCAAAGACAGCAAGCACCTCACTCACTACCATTCTTTTTTGTTAAACCCTCTACCATGTATCACAGTGCATTAGGTCATACTGTATCTAATATGAATTACATTTTATTTAGTTTTTTTAGATGAGATTTAAGGAACATCTTGGTCTCCTCCATATTGTATTCAAAATCACCTTAATGAAGAAGTTTTGAAATACTGTTCCCAAGTTCTTAAAGTATATCTGTTTAGGAGATTGCATTCCAATGTGTAATATTTTTAGATACTTACACAGTTACAAGTGCTCTGTTGAGACACTTTAACAAAAATGTCCTTTTGAAGGTGAAACAATTTAAAGTGGAAGGGAGATCATATTGTAATCCTTTTTAGATGACCTGTTCTCCATCTGCTTCTGATACCATTTTATAACTCACATATTAGAGATGGCATTCCATTTGGCAACCTGATGATTTATTTTCTTCATTAAGCATCTAAGTACCTTGTTTGTGTTGAGCACTATACTAGGCCATAGTGACAGAGCGTAAGTACCTCAGAGAACTGTTCTCAGGAAGCTTCCTGTCTGGTGAGGAAGACAAATGAAAAATACAATAAAAATGATGTGTAAAATGTGTTAAAATGTAATCATATATTGCGATGGGATAAATAAAAGGAATAATTTGCTTAGGAAATCACTTATAGGAGGAAATTTAGGAATTTAGATTTTAAAGATGATTAGGTACTTACCAGGTCAGTGAGGAAGGAAAGACATTATATGGGGATGTAATAATATAAAATAGCAAGGTAAATTTGTGGAATTCTAGTTGTTTGGTGTCCATATAGACTGTGTGTAGAGATGTTATGAGAGACCCAAGATATCAATAAGGGCCCAATCAAAGTGAGCTTTGGACTTGATCCTTTTGTTAGTAGAAAGCTACTGAAAAAAACTTACATTTGGAATAACTTGATTGGATTACAGAGATAGCTCTGATTTTAAGGAGTAGTGTGAAACTAATTGGTGACATGTATGTTATGTAATGAGGTTTGAACTATGGTTGGTAGTAGAAAGAATAAGGATGGGAAAGATAAGAAAGAAGCAAGACATTTTACAGGTAGTTTGCATATGAGAGATGAAGGAGAGGAAGGGGATTTGGTTTTCTGTGGCCTACAAGGTTGATGATATCATAGATAGTTAAGGGAAGGAATAAAGAAGGAGCAACAGGTTTTAGGAGAGTATGACTTCAGGTTTAGGCAATGATTTTGAGAAGCCTGTGGTATATCTACAGGTAAGGAATAAGGAATTAGATTTCTGTTTGAGTTAGGAGTACACAGGTATAAGGTTTCTGTTGGAGATGGAAATATGGGATTTGTTGTTTTATGGGTTTTAATAAAAGCTACAGGCAAACAAAAGAACTCCAACAAATCAATCATAAAAAGGCAAATAGTAGAAAAAATGGGCAAAAAGCTTTAACAGGCACTTTAGAAAATACATGCAAATAACCAATAAGCATATGAAAATGGAGCTTGACTTCATTAGAGGTCATAGAAATGCAAAGTGGAACCACAATGACATACCACTCTTTAGATTGCCTAAAATGAAAAGAAAGTAGAAAAAGATATTAGCAGGTGATGGCAAGATTGTGAAACAACTAGAACATTCACTGGCTGTGGAAATACCAGTTTATATTGGTACAGCCATTTTCGAAAACTCTTTGGTATCTTTCCAAGTTGAACAAATGAACAGATGCAGTAATGGGAATCCGGCTGTGGTGTGTGTGTGTGTGTGTGAGAGAGAGAGAGAGAGAGAGAGGGAGAGAGGAAAGGAGGGTGTGGGGGAGAGAGAGACAGGTGAATATTGATATGTAGAGTTTGCTGATACTCCCACCGTGCTTAATTTCAAGCCACCAATGGTTTGAAAAACCAACTTGCAAAATTCTTCAATGTTTAACAATCAGTATGTCAGCTGCAGCCCAACCAAATAATTCCATTCTTAGATCTAGCCAACAGAAATACATCTGTCTATTACAATAAATTTGGCATATTCATATAATAAAATACAACAATGGGAGGAATAGACTATTTAGACTGTAATTATACATAATAACTATAATGGATGTCACAAACAGTTGAAACCAGGCACAGAAGAATATATACTATTCAATTTGTATAAAATTCAAAAACAAACTAATCTAGGATATTAGAAGTCAGAGTAGTTATTATCCTTATTTGGACTTGTGACTGAGAGAGGACACAACAGACCTTTGAGCTTCATGGTTTTTTTGTTTTGTTTTCACGTTCTGTTTCTTGATCTGGGTGTTACTGACTTGAGTGTATTTACCTTGTGAAATTCATTGAGCTATAACTTATGATTTGTATACTGTTTTGAATGTATGTTTTATGTCAACAAAAATGCTTACAGAGGGCAAAAACCTTTATGGGCAGAGATGAGATTATCCGGGATGTATATATAAAGTGAGAAGAGGTGACAAAATCCTGGGGAACACAAGAAACTATGCACACATTCCTGCTTCTTTCCTCATATTCCTCAGGGTTTCCTATCAGAGCATTGCATAAGGTAAGAATAATGCTGAGAATGAAATTTCTTTTAGAGAGTAGGATTGCTCCTGTAGCATTCCTGCATAGAGACGGTTTCCAAGGGGACATTGGACTCAATTTATTCTTAGATTTTGCAATTAGTTAAAGAGTTGGAGGAAGCAGAGCTACTATCATGAGAAAGACTTGCCAGGAGGCAGGAGATGGTGCTAAATACAGCAACATTTTTCTAAACCTTTCCCATGTATTGGATCCCAGTAAATGCACTGTAACTACATCATCATCTCTCAGTGATATACTGAAATGGTATACTTTGTGAATTATTTGGTTTGAGAAGGAGGGAAAAGGGAAGGATTTCCATACCGACCGTCTCCTCAGAGTGCTTTTAGAAGTGGGGAGGTAGTCCCAATTAAACAGAAAAGTTTGTAAACGTATAATATTAGAAAAGTTCATCTGGACTACTGCATATTTCTCTCTGTTTTCCAGAAATGGCAAAAAATCTTTTGACGACATCATCTTTGTCTGTAAGGACAAAATTACTACATCAAACAGGAGTGTCACTTTATAATACATCTCATGGCTTCCATGAGGAAGAAGTAAAAAAAAAACTTCAGCAGTTTCCTGGTGGATCCATTGACCTTCAGAAGGAAGACAGTGGCATTGGCATTCTTACTCTGAACAATCCAAGTAAAATGAATGCCTTCTCAGGTATAGAGATCTTTCTTTTGCTAAAGAATGACACTAAATCTAAGCTGCTATCACATAATTTTTATCTCTGGTGACAGAATTCTTGAAAGTTGTGGTACTCTTAGAACACACATACTCACACAGAATACCCAAAACCATCACTTGAACCAGGAACATTTTTTACTAATTGTATTTTAATCTTTTTATTTTTTTAAGATTTTATTTATTTATTTAATTGACAGAGAGAGAGACAGTGAGAGAGGGAACACAAGCAGGGGGAGTGGGAGAGGGAGAAGCGGGCTTCCCGCTGATCAGGGAGCCCAATGTGGGGCTCGATCCCGGGACCCTGGGATCATGACCTGAGCCAAAGGCAGTCGCTTAACCAACTGAGCCACCCAGGCGCTCCTTGATTTTTTTTTTAAATCCATAAATATGGATGTTGATAGAAAGGAAACTTTCAAATTAACCTTATTTTTTCCATTGACATATACTGTTTAATGACTTCATTTGTTTAAGTTTAGCTAATGTCACTGGGAGACAAGGGGAAGGAGCTTTCAAAGATTTTTGAAAACTAAAGAGAAAAACCTATAAATGAAAAAAGAAATTACTTAGTTAAATTTTTTTTTTCTGTGACTTGAAATAAGACTCATTTTAACCATGTAATTCCAATAATTGGTGAAAACACTGTGCTTGCCTATGTGTTGCCTCTTTCCTGACACTTAGATACTGGTAAATACCTTCTATTTGCTAGGTAGCATTCTTGGGCATGTATAAATTTCATATTTAAGGAACCCAAAAGTCCAGGACATGTGGTACTTTGTAATTTTGTGCCAAAGTTCAGATTTGAATTACACTACTATGATGTTATGGAAGAGCTAATGAGTAACACTGCTGACTGTCTAGCACTCCTGCATATTTCAGGGTGATTTTGGCAATTTCTCTTTGTCAGTGATGTACCTCATGGGTAGTTGATAATATTATGCAAGAGCTAAGGAGTAACCTTGCTGACTACCCAGTCAGGATGACTCTGACAATTTCCGTTTGTCAGTTATGTACTTCATGGGGGGTAAATTATATTTTGTAATATTTGAAATACTGGGCTCAAAAATGTCTCAGTAAATTTTCATACCCATAGACAAAATTCAATAGACTTAAACTTTGTAAATTATCAGTGGTGGGTCGTTAAAACACAAGATAACTTTTCTTTCCTCTCAGCATAATTCAGAGATGTCTCTCTCTCTCCATTAGTGTTACCCAATAGAAGTATAATGCAAACACAAATGTGACCCACATATGTAAATTAAAATTTTCTAGTAACCATATTTTTAAAAGTAAAATAAAAAAAAGTAAAAGGGAGCAGTTGAAATTAATTTTAATATACTTTATTTAACCCAGTATATTAAAGAATATTTCAACATTGACTCATATGAAAAATTATTTATAAGGTATTTTCCTTTTTTTTCATACGAAATCTTTGAAATCTGGTGTGTATTTTACACTTAACTGCACATCTTAGTTTGGACTAGCCACATTTCAAGTGTTCAAAAGCTAGATGTAGATGGTGGCTACTTTACTGGACAGTGCATCTCCATACCTTCAATTGGTTCAGAGAATAAAAGCCAATTTTAATATTAGCCTAGGGTAAGTAAAATTAGAAAAGTAATACTGCTCTCAAAAATTAGACTAGATTAATAGTTTTGATTTATTCCTGAATAGCTATAAATAATTTACATTAGTAAAGATTATTATTCAAATGGAAACAAATATTAATTTCATGGCTAATATTTAAAACAAATATGAGCAGAGATGCTTTGATTTGGGTAATGGTGTTTGATTGAGTTAGTCTGGGAGAAGATGAGTGAGCACCACACACCAGGCAACCCCAAGGCCCTGGTTTGAAAATTACCCAACCAGTTACTCCTTTAAGGTTCCTTCCAACTCTTACACTTAGTTTACAAAGTCAAAAAGATGAGTTCAAGATTAACTACTGGTATAGATGTCTCATACTCAAAACCAGCATTACTTTTTTAGAAGCTTAAATATTAGGGATGACTGAAGGTCCATATTTACTTATACAGATTTATTCTTAGCCTAAATGAATGTTTTTATTTGTTTGTTTTTTGTAAAAAGCTACTAGACTGTATAATCTTTGGAGAGCAAGAACTATATTTCTAGAACACCTAAGACATCCTTGGGTAGGGCTACTATTTTAATTAGGTCATAATTAGCAATTAGAAAGGATAGCTGCATTAGTTACTTGTGAATCAATAACACTAACATTTATTGTGGAACCACTTCATTATTGGTTACTTCAGAAAATGGCAAGAAGAGTAATAGTTCTTGACATCATGGGGTTTATATTCCAAAGTAGTGTACATAGTTTAATGGGGCTTATATAGTAAGTTTTGGAACCTCGTGGTACAGATTCTTTGCCGGCTTTAATCCTCTGTTATGATCTTTATATTGGCTTCTAAAGCATTTTCTTAAGCAGAGGAAAGAGTAAACTTAATCATTGATAGCATTATGAACTTTATGAACTTGGGAGATCACCACTGATAAGAATTATAGTCTCTCGGGCGCCTGGGTGGCTCAGTTGGTTACACAACTGCCTTCAGCTCAGGTCATGATCCTGGAGTCCTGGGATCGAGTCCCACATCGGGCTCCCTGCTCAGCAGGGAGTCTGCTTCTCCCTCTGAGCCTCCCCCATCTCATGCTCTCTCTTTCTCTCATTCTCTCTCTCAAATAAATAAATAAAATCTTTAAAAAAAAAAAAAAGAATTATAGTCTCTGCTGTTTCCATTTTAAATTTGTCCATTATAAAGAAGCTCTAATAGAATTTTGGAATGATACTAAGGTAAAAATTTAATCTATAAATCATAGAATTGATAGTTGGTAAGTATCTTATTAGCAGCCTATGAAGTACGTTCATAGTATGCCTTGGGTTAGAGCATAGTTTGTCAACTGTGGAACAAGATGATATGTACTATCCCTTTCCTGAACGAACATCCTATTATAATAGTTCTCATGTGAGTGAAGTAGGAATCTTACCTTTGTTTTGTGTACCATATACCCAATAGATTGTTAAGATCTCAGTCTCATGGGGCAGTACTATATTTGAGTTAGGAATACAGGCATAACTCTTGTTATGAGCTTGTTGATTTTATAATCCTTGTTGAGCTTGTTGACTAAGACAATGTGTACTACTGTGAAGGCAGGTCTATATTTGACTTTTACCCTAAGAAATAATTTTTTCTTACCACTATACCCCTTATTCATTCCAATTTTCTAATTCCTAGGACATGTATGATATATTCTCATTTTCTACTTAGCCATGTATTTGTATGATTTCTTAATTAAGACAGAAAGAGAGAGAGATTACTAACATATTGTAAACTTCTAAAGCGGGGACTGCAAGTATACCTCTTTTATTTATACCCCATGGTACCAACATAATAGACATTTAATAAACATCCAGGTAATATTTGTAAAATGTAGGATCTAAGAGTCCTATTTGGCTCCTGATAGTTTCTAAATTATTTTTCTTTTTCCAGTATCTTATGTGCTTTGATTTCCCCTCATCTCTTTGGCAGGTGTTATGATGCTACAACTTCTGGAAAAAGTGATTGAATTGGAAAATTGGACAGAGGGGAAAGGTCTCATTGTCCGTGGGGCAAAAAATACTTTCTCCTCAGGATCCGATCTGAATGCTGTGAAATCACTGGGGACTCCAGAGGCAAGTATTATATGAATTATGCACTAGATTCCACATGTTTATCAGAGATCTGTGGCTGAGATATTTATATTTTACATATGGTTATTATGATAGCTACTCTTTAAGAGCTTTCCAAGGATCAGAGGTTTTGGCTTTCTTCTTAAAGATGGGTTAGCAAATAGTGTGAAATAGTGGGGCAAGGGGAGGGGGGGAAGGAAGGACCAGAAGATTAACAATCACTAAAGCCCATTAAAACTAGCAAGAGTTTGAATTCTTTTTTTTTTTTTTTTAAAGATTTTATTTATTTATTTGACAGAGA